GAGGTTGGATGGCCACCTGCCAGGGATTCTTGAGCTGTGATTCCTACAATTCAGGGGGTTGGACTAGATGACCCTTGGGACCCACCACTTTCCATGTGAGCCCTTCCACTGTCAAACAGCTCTCACCGTCAGAAAGTTATTCCTGATATTTAGGAATCTCTTTTCTTGCCAGTTGAATTTGCTCAAGCTGCAGAGAATAAGCTTGCTCCATCTTATGTGATATTTGGAGCAGGCTCTCAATAATAATAATAATAATAATAATAATAATAATAATAATAATAATTTATTATTTATTCCCCGCCCATCTGGCTGGGTTTCCCCAACCACTCTGGGCTGCTTCAAACAAAACACTAAAATACAATAACCTATTAAACATTAAAAGCTTCCCTAAACAGGGCTGCCTTCAGATGTCTTCTAAAAGTTTGGTAGTTATTTTTCTCTTTGACATCTGGTGGGAGGGAGTTCCACAGGGCGAGTGCCACTACCGAGAAGGTCCTCTGCCTGGTTCCCTGTAACTTGGCTTCTCGCAGGGAGGGAACCGCCAGAAGGCCCTCGGTGCTGGACCTCAATAATAATAATAATAATAATAATAATAATAATAATAATAATTTTTATTTATACCCCGCCCTCCCCAGCCAAGGCCGGGCTCAGAGCGGCTTACAAGCAATAATAAAAACAAGTTGAATGATTACAACTTGAAAACAAAATTAAAATACAACATTAAAATATTGAAACATTAAAATATTAAAATGTAGCCTCATCGCAGGAGAAGGAAAGGAAAAAAAGAAAGAGAGGGAGGGAATCAAATTGGCTCCAAGCCAAAGGCCAGGCGGAACAACTCTGTCTTCCAGGCCCTGCGGAAAGAAATCAGATCCCGCAGGGCCCTGGTCTCATGAGGCAGAGCGTTCCACCAGGCGGGAGCCAGTGTTGAAAAGGCCCTGGCTCTGGTTGAAGCCAATCTAACTTCCTTAGGGCCCAGGACCACTAGGGTGTTGCTATTTATGGACCTTAAGGACCTCCGTGGGGCATACCAGGAGAGGCAGCCCCGTAGGTACGAGGGTCCTAGGCCGTGAAGGGCTTTAAAGGTCAAAAGCAGCACCTTAAATCTGACCCTGTACTCCACCGGGAGCCAGTGCAACTGGTAAAGCACTGGGTGAATATGCTCCCATGGCAGAGACCCCGTGAGGAGCCTCGCTGCAGCATTCTGCACCCGCTGGAGTTTCTGGGACAGCTTCAAGGGCAGCCCCGCCTAGAGCGAATTACAGTAGTCAAGCCTGGAGATGACCGTCGCATGGATCACTGTGGCCAGGTCGGGGCAGGACAGGTCTGAACAATGGGGGTGGAGACGCTCCTTCAGCTATACTGGACTCTTATTCAAGCTAAATCCCCCCAGATCCCTCAACCATCCCTCATACGGCTTGGCTCCCCAAACCCTTCATCTTGGTCGCCCTCCTTTGCACACCTTCCACCTGTCCCTATTGCACCAGTGCCTGCCTGCCTGCCTTCGTACCTGCTTCGCTCATGAACTTCTCCTTGTTCTCAGCTGTACAGTCCTTCTTGCAGGTCTTGACGGCCACGCTGACCCGGTCTCCGCTCTGGAACGAGAGGCAGACTTAAAGCTCGGCTGAAGCTAAGCAGGGCAGACGGCAGGGTTTGCTGGCTGACTTAAATCCAGTCAAATGCATGGGAGCTGGAAACCATCCTTACAGAGGAGAGGGGGGGCAAATCTCTGCACATATAAGTACCTTATTTTCCGGCGTATAAGACGACTTGGAGTATAAGACGACCCCCCAACTTTTCCAGTTAAAATATAGAGTTTGGGATTTACTTGTCGTATAAGACTACCCCTCTTCCAACGCACACCAAATAAAAATTTAAAAAACCAGGCTCGGAAATCCGCTCCACTTCCCAGTGGCCGGGGGCTTCTGGGGCCAATTTTCAAGCGTATTTCTGCTTCATCTAGAGAGCTTGGTGTCCTCTGATTTAATTTGCTGTCGTTTTATCCTTTGGTGGGGAGTTTCTGCAGGAGCTGCTGCTGTAGCCGGCGTTTAAGACGACCCCCGACTTTTGAGAAGATTTTCCTGGGTTATACGCCAGAAAATACAGTAGATCCCTCCTGGGTCAAAGCAAAGACCCATCTAACACAGCATTCTGGATTTCCACAGTGCCCAGCCAAATGCTTGTAGAAAGCCCACAAGCGGGAGAGGGAATAAACAGTGCCTCCTTGCAAAGCCACTTCTGCCTAAGGAGGAGGTGGGGTTAGGGTTAGGGTTAGAGTGGGATTGGAGGAATTCCCAGCCACATCACCCAATCGGCTGGCTCAGGGGCGTGGCCTGCCCTATATAAGGCAGGACACGGCTGGGAATCTCCCTCTTTGCCACCCACCAGCTGTTCCTGTTTTCCCACCCTCCTGCCCTATAAGGTTTTTGTTCCTTGACCTTGCTATGGACCTCGGTTGGTCGCCGTTGAGGGGCCTGGTAGGAATTTTTCCACTTGGCAAATTGGCACCAGCCACTTGGTTTCCGCCTGCCTTGTACCAAATCATCACAACTTTATTGGTATTGGCGGTTAGGCATTCTTTTGAATTATGGTGTTGGAGGAGACTCTTGAGAGTCCCATGGACTGCAAGAAGATCAAACCTCTCCATTCTGAAGGAAATCAGCCTTGAGTGCTCACTGGAAGGACAGATCCTGAAGCTGAGGCTCCAAGACTTTGGCCACCTCATGAGAAGAGAAGACTCCCTGGAAAAGACCCTGATGTTGGGGAAGACGGAGGGCAGAAGGAGAAGGGGACGACAGAGGATGAGATGGTGGGACAGTGTTCTCAAAGCTACCAGCATGAGTTTGACCAAATTGTGGGAGGCAGTGGAAGACAGGAGTGCCTGGCGTGCTCTGGTCCAGGGGGTCACGAAGAGTCGGACACAACTATACGACTAAACAACAACAACATATTTCTGTAGATGGAAGAGGGGAGGTATCGCCATCACCTGCCCCGCATATTGAAGGGTAGTCCTTTAAAGGATTCTGGGGGGCGTGGCCCTGTCCGAAACCTAGGGAGGTGAGGGCCTAAGGCACGCCCCCTAGTGGTGACCCCGGGGGAGTTCCTAGTTGATGTGCATCAGCAGGACTCCCCCTACTGGTGGTTAACCCTTCCCGGACTTCAAGCAGACGGGCTGAAGCCGGATATAGTCGGTTAGGACCAATGCCTAAGCCAATACCGCTCATCACCTGTAACCAATAAAGTTGTGGCCTTTTTAAGCCCATTAACCTTAATAATTGTGTCATGTGTCATTATTTCCACCGGGGGGGGGGTCGGGAACTAGCCACGCAACCCAATATTAAGAGATAGGCTCCCCCTGAACATGGAAGTTCCATTGAGCCTGCCATTGCCCATAGGCATAGGAGGGGAGCTTTTCTCACAATGTAAACATTTTTGGGGGAGGTGGGGTAAGGGAGTTCCAACAGGATGCTGAGGAGAAATGGTTAATCCCTATTTTTAAAGGTGGGCAGGAACATCCACCTTTCAATCACCTTTCTAATGACATCTGGTGGTTTAAGGAGGCAGAGGCTTGCCTCCCGTCTTAGCGCTGATCAGAGATATGCCCCTACTTGCTCTTGGATAGTAAAAGGCACAAACACAGGATGATCTCTGAAATCAGTGCTGAGGTTCCACAGCGCTAAGATCGGACACATGGAAAAAGGCTTCCTGCTCTTTCAGTTTACGGCTAGAGAACAGGCAGAGTCTCGCCTCTTGATCTTAGCTCTAAGCGTCACAGCGCAGTCTCCAGTCTTAGCGCTGTGGCATTGGCTGCGAAGATTGAAGATCAAGAGACCTCTGCACCTGATTTCAGGTGATTTACAATTGGACACGGTTTGCCCAAAAAGGCCTGGCGAGCCAAATTCAGAGGCTTAGCAAGCCTAGGTATGCCTGTGGCCTGGAAGATCTCCAGTGATGGTATATAGTATAGCATAATAATAATAATAATAATAATAATAATAATAATAAATTTTTATTTATATCCCGCCCTCCCCAGCCGAAGCCGGGCTCAGAGCGGCTAACATCAAATGTATAACACATTAACATAAAATCAGACAATCAATTAAAATACATCCTCAAATCAGATCAGGATCAGAATAAAATCCAATCGGATGGCAACCCGCAGATTAGGGTTGGGGACCTTAAATGCTCACCAGGCCCAACTGTTTGTGCTGAACTTATATGGGCCTGTGAGAAAAATTGGGAGGCCGCTTTCTTGCAAGTTCTTATGAAAGGGGAGAGGGAGTCAGACTGAACCCCGACCAAAGGCCTGGCAGAACAGCTCCATCTTGAAGGCCTTGCGGAAAGATGTCAAGTCCCGCAGGGCCCTAGTCTCTTGTGACAGAGCATTTCACCAGATCGGGGCCACGGCCAAAAAGGCCCTGGCTCTGGTTGAGGCCAGCCTAACCTCCCTGTGGCCCAGGACCTCCAAGATGTTTTTGTTTGAAGACCATAAGGTCTTTCGTGGGACATACCAGGAGAGGCAGTCCCATAGGTATGAGGGTCCTAGGCCATATAGGGCTTTAAAGGTCAAAACCAGCACCTTAAACCTGATCCTTTACTCCACCGGGAGCCAGTGCAGCTGGTATAGCACCGGGTGAATGTGATCCTGTGGCAAGGACCCCGTAAGGTGTCTTGCCACGGCATTCTGCACCCGCTGGAGTTTCTGGGTCAGTCTCAAGGCCAGCCCCACGTAGAGCAAGTTACAATAATCCAGTCTGGAGGTGACCATCGCGTGGATCACAGTGGTTAGGTCAGGGCGAGAGAGGGAAGGAGCCAACTGCTTAACTTGGCGGAGATGAAAAAATGCCGCCTTTGTTATAGCTGCAATCTGTGCCTCCATGGAAAGGGAGGTGTCGAAGATTACATCCAAACTCTTAACGGACGGTGCTGGCACTAATTGCACCCCCGCAAGAGATGGGAGTTGCCCCCCCCCCAATCCCATATCGCCTGCTGCTCTCAAAGTCCTGGGATAGTCCTGGGACTAGGTAGAGCATGAGACTCTTAACCTCAAGGTTGTGGGTTCGAATCCCACCTTGGGCAAAGGATCGTCACGTTGCAGGGGGTTGGACTAGGCGAATCCTGTGGTCCCTTCCAACTGTATGATTCTATGATGGCTCACCTCGTTGGTGTAAATGCCCTCGTAGACCTCGCCGAAGAAACCCTCTCCAAGGATCCGGCCCAGGACGACATCTTCCCGGGAGATCACGAACTGTTGAGCTGTGCAAGAGAAAGTGTCAACAACACACTGGTTTTAAACGAAGGAAAAAGCACAACTTCCATTAGTATAGACCAGAAAGGGGGGGGGGGACTGTTTTGCCTGCCAGCAACTGCCAGCTCAATAGGGGGTATAGGCAGTAGATTGGTGGCAGTGTGCAGTGGTTAAAGGGTCAAGCTGCTGCTGCTGGAGGAAAAAATGCTCTACTCAGATCTCAGCTCTGCAATGGCACAAACTCACTATGATGGGCTTATGCAAATCACTCTCTTTCAAAACCTTAACTGCCCACTTGCAATTTGGCAATAATCATACTGGCTAACCTCACAGGTGTGGGAATGTTCAGGGATGCAGGAGAGGATATATTGTTCGATTATAGCCTTTCCAACTTTCCAACTTGTGTTAATAATAAGAAGTTAACAAGTTCCACAATTTCAGCAGTGTAACATTCCCCTTTTTAAACCTACAGCGGATGCGTTTGCTCAGGCTCGCTAAAGCCTCTATAATAACTGCTCTGGTATTTTCCCCTTATTCCCTCATAAAAGATAAGACACGACACAGTCTTCTATAAAAGTATAAAAAGAGTTTACTCACTCACATTCTGTTCACAATTGGATCCCAGAAGGCAGACTTAGCTTAGAAAAGTAACATATACCTGGAAACTATCTCATAAGGAGACAGTCCCTTTGTCCTCTCTTGGTTGGAATCCAAGAGAGCATCTTTGGCTAAGCAGATGTTGCTTCTTCAATGCATGTAGTCAAAGAGAGAGAGATGGCTGCCCTGCCCTGTGCATTTGTTGTTACCTGCACAGGTGAGGCCACACCCACCTCTAGTCACATGGAGAGGAAGTCTGTCCCAGCCCAGAAGGAAACAGGAAGTTGACCTGCTGGCTGGACAAACATTCCTCCCCATGTGTAAACATGTTCACTCTAGGAATGCTGTACTTGACTGCTCTTGTGTTTCACATCCTACAGCAAGGTCGTTGTAAAGCACCATCACCAATACGTAGTGCAAATGGCCATTACTGCCATCTCCCCTGTGCGTCTGTGTGGCCTGGTGTGGTAATAGTAAAAGTGTCAAACGAGGACTTGGGAGACAAGGGTTCAAATCCACACTTAGCCATGAAGCTCACTGTGCGTCCTTGGCCCAGTCACTGTGTCTCAGCCTAACTTACCTCACAGGGTTGTTGTGGAGGTTAAATGAGGAGAGAGCAAGCCAAATATGCCACAACTTAAATCTTGGGGGGGGGGGGAGGTGGAATGTAAATGTAATGAAGGAATACATAAAGACATGTTTAGCTCCAGTTGCCAGATGTGTGTTTCTGTGTAGCCATAGTGGACTCGGAACGCAGCAACCTGAAAATCCCGGCTTCTTTGAGCTCAGAAGTAGACTCTGCACTAAGTTTTTGCTTTAAAAAATATTGCACGGCTTTCTGCATTTAGCCTAAAGGTAAAGGTAAAGGGACCCCTGACCATTAGGTCCAGTTGTGGCCGACTCTGGGGTTGCGGCGCTCATCTCACTTTATTGGCCGAGGGAGCCGGCATACAGCTTCCGGGTCATGTGGCCAGCATGACTGAGCCACTTCTGGCGAACCAGAGCAGCACACGGAAACGCTGTTTACCTTCCTGCCGGAGCGGTACCTATTTATCTACTTGCACTTTGACGTGCTTTTGAACTGCTAGGTTGGCAGGAGCTGAGACAGAGCTACGGGAGCTCACCCCGTCATGGGGATTCAAACCGCTGACCTTCTGATTGGCAAGTCCTAGGCTCTGTGGTTTAATCCACATCGCCACCTGCATCCTAGCAATGGAAATTCCCTACTGGGAATGCCCCTGCCCTTCCCAGTCCCCACGGTATAGAAATTGTTCCTGTGCGAAGCCACTAAAATTCATTGAAAGCTTTGCATCTTACATTGTGATATGGCCTCTTCTTGTGAACCACATAGGTAGAGATCAGGGGTAGCCAACATGCTACCCTCTCTATGCTGTCAAATGCCTTCTCCCATCAGTCAAAGCAGCTGGCCTGGCCAATGGCCAGGTGCAATAGGAGCTGCAGTCCTCAAACATCTGGAGGGCACCCCCTTAGCCACCCCTGGAATGGATGCCGGAGCCAATCAACCTCTCCTGTACATCAATTCATTCCTAAGAGGGCAAAATTAATTCGCAAGTGGTCCAGAAGTTGCACCTACCTCCAGATTTCGGCCGGGATGCTTCATCTGGAATTTCGGCATAAATATCAGAATCTGGAACAAAGCAGCCCATTTTAATTGTTATGCTGTTTTAATGGGGGCGGGTTTTAATCGTGGATGGTTTGAATATTATTCCACTATGTATTTTAATTACACATTGATATAAAACTGGAGGCAGGCCGGAAACCGAGGGCATCCCCAAAACCACCTGCCCCTCAAGAACACACCCAAAGAGTTGTGTTATTTTTATCTTTTGTTTGTAAGCCGCTTTGGGATTTATTTGAATAAAAAGCGGCATAGAAATAGGAAAACAAAACAAAAAAGTTGAAGGAGGCGAGAGAGAGGCATCATCTCCTCTGACGTGTACATGGGTTTTTCTGCCCTCGTTATTGCCTCTAGCCAAACAAGATCTGGCAAGAATTCATAATGCTTTGTAAACCTGTGCAACCTATTGGGTCAGAGGTGGAAGAAGGACAACAGGATTTGGGTGGGCACAAATTATGCTTCCGTAATTCCACCGACTCTCTGAAAACGTGCTCCTCCAGTGGCTTCGGATGGATCGAAGCTGCTCTCTCTGGCTCGGCTTGCAATTCATTTTATTTTTTCCTGAAGCAGATAGTCCTCATGGATCGGATGGCAGGAAGACAGGATTCAACTCACCCCCACTGAAGCTCTCTCTCAGCGTGGACCTCCTCTCCTCTATGTGCCTGAGGGTAGAAAGAATCTCCGGTGAATGATATATAATAATAATAATTTATTATTTATACCCCGCCCACCTGGATAGGAGAGCATGGCGTGCTCTGGTCCATGGGGTCACAAAGAGTCAGACACGACCATAGCTGTCAACCTTCCCTTTTTTTGTGAGAAATTCCCTTATTCCAGCGCTGTTTCCCTCTGCTTCCAGCTACTATCCCAGATTGCTAGATATTCCGTAGACAGTCCCCGGGACAGGTGAGGCTGCTGATCCCTTACAGTGATGCCTCGCAAGACGAAAAGAATCCGTTCCAGGAGTCTCTTCGTCTTGCGGTTTTTTCGTCTTGCGAAGCAAGCCCATTAGCGGCTTAGCGGATCAGCTGATAAGCGGCTTAGTGGCTTGGGAAAAGGGGGGGGAGGAAAAAAACCCCGCAGGAACTCGCAAGACATTTTCGTCTTGCGAAGCAAGCCCATAGGAAATTCGTTTTGCGAAGCACCTCCAAAACGGAAAACCCTTTCGTCTAGCGGGTTTTCCGTCTTGCGAGGCATTCGTCTTGCGGGGCACCACTGTATTTTCGAATCTGAAAGTTGACAGCTATGGACACGACTAAACGACTAAACAACAACAACAAACAGATGGGCTTCTCTGCCTGTCTGGTGTCTAGATGCACGCCCGACAACTTTGGGCCCCCCCCCCAAAAAAAGGGCAAGAACTCTGGGCAACCCTTTCCTAAAATAATAAAGCATGAAATTAAACAAAAGTAAAAGTAAAGAGAAAAAGGAAATGTCCCTGGATTCCTTGAAAAAAATCTGGTAACTATGGGTTAGAGGGATTCATACTTACTGTACTGGGACCTGGGGCAGGCTGATCCTCTTATCATTGTCTGTGGAGAAAGAAGAGGGAAAGGAACATCAAGAGAGCACATCATAGCTGTCAACTTTTCCCTTTTCTTGTGAGGAATCCTATTCGGAACAAGGGAATTTCCCTTAAAAAAAGGGAAACATTGACAGCTATGGAGCACATGCGAAACTCAAAGCTTGGGCTCAGCCTCCCCATCTCGCTACTGCTGACAGATGGGTTCGCTTGCTTCTTTTCTTGCCTCCAAATCACCAGGGACTAGCAGATTTCCCTTATTCCATCCCATTCTTCGCCCAGGTGTTTGTTTGCTCTGTCCCATTATCCTCCCCACCAAACAAACACGAGGCATCTCTAATCTGGATTCTGGAACAGTCAATTGCACAGCCTCCTAGGAGCATTCATGGCCTGACAACGCCAGCCCACCTTCTTACTGATATAGAATCGTAGCGTTGGAAGGGACCCCGAGGGTCATCTAGTCCAACCCCCTCTAAGGCAGAAATCACAGCTCAAGAATCCATGGCAGATGGCCACCCAACCTCTGCTTAAAAACCTTCTAGGAAGGAGAGTCCACCACTTCTGGTGGGAGACTGTTCCACTGCTGAACAGCTCTTATTGTCAGAAAGTCCTTCCTGATGTTTAGTGGGAACCTCCCTTCTTGCCACTGGAAGCCATGGGTTCGAGTCCTACCCTCCAGAGCAGCAAAAAACAAGCTTGCTCCCTCTTCCACATGACAACCCTTAAGCTTTGTGAAGATGGTTCTCCTATCTCTTCTCAGTCTCCTCTTTTCCAGGCTAAAAATACCCAGCTCCTTCAACCGTTCCTCATATGGCTTGGTTTCCAGACCCTTGATCATCTCAGTCGCCTTCCTCTGCACATGTTCCATGAGGGACCATGAGCATTGATGAAACACAGTGTCCGCTTGCCCATTATCTGATAAAGCCACTTCCGCCCTTCGGAGGAGGTGGAGTTGCGGGCTTCACGACCCCACCATGCGAGCAGCGGCTGGAGCCCAGCCCCCACGCGATTGGGGGAATCCCCGGCCGCATCACCCCCTGGCCAGCCAATCAGCTGGCTCTGGGGGTGTGGCC